GACTCTGTGTGGAAGCCATGCCTTTCTAGGTGCGTCCAGTGATGGCAAAGTAACTGAAGGGGATAATGTAAGTGTACTGGAAATTAAATGTCCATATTCTTTAAAGGGTACTCTAATCAATAAAAAAGAGATTCCAGAGATAATGACCATGGGAGACAAAGCTTTCTGTCTTGAAAATACAAACACAGGGCAAAGACTTAGACATTCCCATAAATATTATGCTCAGGTACAGGGAGAAATGGAAATAATGGGTTTACCATGGTGTGATTTTGTAGTCTGGACAGAGGCAGAAAAAAACAACATATGCATTGACAGGATAAACTTTGATGCCAGCTATGTCACTAAAATGATGCCTAAACTACTTGCATTTTACATGGAGCATATTTACCCTTTTTATTACAAGTAACATCAGATTTTGCTAATTTCTGGGCTTGTACAGAGATATTCTAAGCTGTTTGGGTGTATTGGACACACTGATAACATCGATTTGCACCATTCCAATCAGATATCTGTGGTTCTTAAAGTTCCACTACAATTAAGAGTTTTATGATGTTACTATCGCAAAAGCTGCTAATAAAATGCTTAGGTTGAGTGGCATTGTCAAAAACTGATTAAAAATTGGAATGGTGAAAATCAATGCTATTTGTGTCTCCCAATACACCTAAAAAGTTTAGAAAACCTCATGTTCTGAATTGACAGCTAGGTATTTGGAATAGAAGTAGACATTAAATTTTTTCTACACTTTTGGCATTTATTTCATTTATATTTGTACATAACGTATCCAGTATCTTTAAATTAAATATCAATCAAATAATAACAATGTCTATGAACTATTTTAATCATTATGAACCAGAATAGGAATGAAAATATTAGTAGCTACGACTAGTAGCCTCTGTAAAGAAATATTACGTCTTAGAATGATCTGTAAATCTAAATTATCAAACTTGGCCAATAAGACAAAAAAAATAAGCAAACCTTTCTTTAAAGGAATATTACCTCTTAAAATGAATATAACTTTTAAATAGTTATCAAACTTGGCCAATAAGACAAAAAAAATAAGCAAACCCATCTTTAAAGGAATATTACCTCTTAAAATGAATATAACTTTTAAATAGTTCTCAAACTTGGCCAATAAGAGTATACATTCATCAGTAGACGTGCCTTGTGTCATAAATACACAACAGGATCTCTTTAATCCGATTAAAATAAAATTTAGTCATTACTGAAGCATTAGTTTTATGGATTATCAGATTATACAGGGGTTTTGTTGTATATTTATGACACAAGGCAAGTCCACTGATGAATGTATACTCTTATTGGCCAAGTTTGAGAAATATTTAAAATTTATATTCATTTTAAGAGGTAATATTCCTTTAAAGATGGGTTTGCTTATTTTTTTAGTGTCAAATTAAGCGAACTATTTGATTAATTGGTATTTCTAATGAATTATCATGTATTATTAATCATATCATTTTGTTCTTATTGTATATAATTAAGAGTTTTAACCAATCATAAATATCCATGTATGAACTGTCTGGATGAACTAAAAAAGATCTTTCGGTAACTCAATTCCCTGGTAATTCTGTTCTAATTTAGCTTATTATGAATTATGTACAAGACAAACTGGTATTTTTCCAAGTTATTAGAACACTTCTACTTTGTATTCATATAAATATTCGCATTTTCACTAAATGAATGCAAATAAAATATATATTTTTTTGCATGAACTATGAAAGAAAAACAGAGTTTATTTGTCATCTACAAGGGGTACATCAAAATTTGTAAGCCAGCAACAAACTTGAAACACTTTACTAGCAATGGGTGACATAGACAAAGGTAAAACTCCATCAAAAATATGAAAGTTTTTAACCCGCCCAATGCTGCGCTCAACATGTATTCTCAGTTGAGCAATTTCTTGAGTCAGATGAACATCCTCTACTGAAAATTGATGACTTTGTCCTCTAAAAGGTGGTATGTTCAAAGAACATCCTTTGTTACTTAATAGGTCAGTGATAGTAAAACCCTTGTCTGCCATTACAGAATCCCCTGTATCTAACATGTCTAAAAGACCAGACTCTTCAGTTATCTGTCGATCTGACACACGTCCTCCCCACCCTTC